ATAGCTTTGTACAGCTCCATTATAGAGTTTATTTATTTATAAGCTGCCAATAGATGCTGAACAGTGGGTCACAGAGTAAAAAGATCAATTATAGCTGATCAGGTTTTTATGGTAATTAATGATTAGAACATTAATTAGTTCTAATCATTAATTAGAACAGACCTGGAGTCGTACAGCTCCCAGCGCTCTCTGTAGTAATACTGCTCCAGGCTCTTGAACCAGTGCGTCGGCTCGCTCAGCCTGGTGCGGTTCAGCAGGTCCTGGAAGGTGGGTGACACGTACAGGTCTTGGTCAACCGGGAAGGGCATCCGGTAGTGTAGGTTGTGGAGAAGGTGGTACGCCCCCTGGTGGACAGAGCGGGTTGGGTAGTACATGGTGACCTGAAATCACATATGACAATAATAGTCAAGTCGGCTGCGTGTTTGATTCCCTCGCATGTGTTTTACTGATGTCTTGTCTGAAGGCGGCAGCGCTCGCGGACCTCGTGGAGGGACTGGCTGGCGTAGATGGTGTGCCAGTGGCCGGGCTCAGTGACCAGAGTGGGCAGCAAGGACCGACCGGTGAGATGGACCAGGGTGGCGGGGCTGCCCGGGAGGCTGTAGGACGGGTAGGGAACAGAGAACCAGTCCAGAATGGTGGGAGTGATGTCTGCCACAAAAGAGAGTGAGAAAGTAAAAATAAAAAGTATGAAATAGTGAACGCATCATGAGCCTCTGCTATTTATGCCATAGTGTTTAGAGAGAAGCACCTGTCAAATGAAAACCATGTATTGTGTATTGAAGACTAATCAATCCTGTTCATAATATTCATATTCACATTTAATTGCTTCCTGTTGAGAGGCTCTTTTCCCTTTATACAGTTCTATCTGTGATCTGTTGCTGAAGCTTCATTGCTCATCTCCCTCTTGTGGCTGCTTTACGCTCATCAGATAAACACACTGACCTCCATGTTTGCCCGTGTGTGTGTAAAAGCCAGTGTCCCCCTCCAGGGGTAGGAAATCTACCAAGTTAGCCTTTCTGTTTTTTTAAATCAGTATTCTTCTTACCAAGGAGACTGACGTAGGCCTGGCTGGTGTCTCCCCATCGCTCCCTGTGCTCTGGAGAGGACACCAGCATGGGTTCTGCTGTGCCGGAGTGATACAGGTTGGTTCTGCCGTTAGGGAAGGGGATGCCGTTGTCTGAGCTGTAGATAACCAGCGTGTCGTTCTCATAACCGGCGTCCCTGAGCTCCTGAAGAACTAATCCAATACCTGCAGAGGAAATTTACACCAGTAGTGTTATACAAAAACAAAACCTTTCTCCATCTGCTTATCTTGTGTGCATGTAGGTTGTTGTTACATACCCTGATCCAGCCGGCTGACTGTGGTGTACTGTGCAGCCAGGTCAGCTCGGGCTACAGGGGTGTCTGGCACAAAGGGAGGAACCTGCATGAGTGCATGAGATGAGGACAGAGCAGATAAACAAATGTTACAATACATGAAACAAAGCAAAAATGATCACTAATATCAAATATTAATGTTTATCTAGCGGAGAGAGGAGCAGAGGCAGTGGAAGACACACACATTTTCTGTTGGTACTTTGTATCTGATATTGAAGACTGTACTATTTCACTTTTATGATCATATTATGATACATGACATAAGTTATTAGATATTCATTTGTATATAAAATATTTATCTATATATTAAAGTGATTATCCTTGTTTTCGATGAAAAATCTTGTCTCTTTCTACATGTCACTATGTAAAATCTTGACTTCACTTTTATAAATACAAACCATTTACTTCACTGACCTTTACTTGGTCTGGTGTGTAATATTCTGGAGTCCAGTCAGGTATTCGTCCCATCCCCATTTCACCATTACCAAACTTCTCACAGAAAGCTCCGTACTGTGGCTGTGAATGTCCACATCTGTGGGTGTCGTGGAAGGCAACATAAAGGAAAAACGGTCTCTCTTCACTTCTTCTGTCACCACTGTCTCCTTTATACTCTTCTTTCTTCCGTCTTTGCTCGGTGGCTTCCTCTTTGTGCGTTTGGAAAAACTTGCGGACCAGGAGTTTGATGCGTGTGATGTTCCTTCCCACCTGCAGGACCGAGTTGTTCTCCTCCGTGTAGGCGAAGTCGAAAGGGTAGACGGATCCAGGACCGACGTGCTTCTTCCCAATTATACCTGCAGAGATGAGAGTGAAAAAGAAGAAGATAATTTTGTCTAAAAAGCAAGTGTGTGTGTGTGTGTGCGTGTGTGTGTGTGTGTGTGTGTGTGTAGACTGGAGATAAACTGGTTTCTTTGTTACTGACCTGTGTGTACCTTGGCCTTGCTGAGGAGCAGCGGCAGACTTTGTACGGCGTCAAACGAGTTGAAGTGATGGACGCCCTGATGAAGCCCGTACATTCCATTCTGATGCTGGAAACAAGACAAACACACTGCAATACTGTGTGTGTGGTCCAAGTATTACCCAGGCTATGGGGACCTAAACCTGTTTACACAATCAAATTATGGGGATTTGTCTTCCTTATGGGGACAAAAAGCCTTCTAACGTAAATCATAGAAGTATAAGTTTAGCTTAAGTTAAGTTTAGGGTTAGGTAAGTAGTAACTATGGTTAAGGTCAGAGTAAGGCTCCAGGAAATCAATGTCAGTCAATGTAATGTCCTTTGAAGTCATGGTGACACAACTGTGTGTGTGTGTGTGTGTGTGTGTGTGTGTGTGTGTTACCTGGGGCAGGCCAGTGAGGATGGTGGAGCGGCTGGGGGAGCAGCTGCTGACAGATGTGAAGGCGTTGCTGAACACCAGGCTGCGCTGGGCCAGTGAGCGCAGGTGGGGGGTGCGGACCACAGAGTTGTTGTACACTTCCGTCTCAAAACCTGCATCGTCGGCTGGAGGAGGGTAAACACAGGGACTCTTCATGATGTGTGTGAACACTGAAGTTTATAAACAGCAACTGGTATTTGTATTAGATACAAAGGTTGGAGATGCTGCTACACTGTCAGATAATATAAGTTTGTTAAATAAGTGCTTGTAATGGGTCCTTGTGTGGAACAGAATTAGCCTTAACGGAGGTTTGATGTTCTTTCACTCTCTTACAATGTGCTCTCTCTCTCACACACATCGAATTATTTGTTGCATCAATTAAACAACCTGATGACAGCATGTTAGAATACTTGATCTATGATGCTCAGTTTATCAGGTCCACCCAGCTCAATCTACTGCAGTGAAATACAGCAGCTCTGCAGTAGACCATCCTCCAGGAAGGTTATAATGTTCAGCTTGAGTTGATTCAACTCTGTGGGCATTTTGGAGCAAGCGTTTTGCAGAGAGTTGTTTCTGCTGTTTCGCTCCAATGTCAATGAGCAGCACACCACGACAGAAACACCACTCAGTGCAGTACTTTAAATATAAAGCAGGTGAACACAAACATCATCAGAAGCTATCGGAGTTCGCTCACCGATGATCAGAAGCACGTTTCTCGTCTTCGCCTCGGTGACGCAACAAGAGGACAACACGAGACACAACAACTGCAGCAGCATGACGATGAAGATGATGAAGACGATGCTGCGACTGACACTCTTCTGAAACCAGTTCTCAAACCAACAACACACGCTGCTGCTCCCACTTCCTCCTGTGTCCTCGCGCAGCCTGCGGTCACATGACACGGGTCACGTGACGAGTGAAAACAGGAACTTGGGTCTCGCGCTGCCTCAGCTCAGTGGTTTGATGAAAGTAGAAAAAGAAGAAGAAGGAGAAGATGAGGAGAAGGAGTTCAATGAATCAGTGCAGGGTTGTGTAGTAACACTGTTAAACTGGAGGACACGCACACGGTGATACTGTCTTCTACTCTTCTCTCTATTCTCTGTTGTGTCTATTCTTCTGCTCTATTCCAACAGTGTAGGTTTTCTATTCTCTTCTTTTTATTATATCACACTCGTTGTTTCTACTTTGTTTTTTTATTCAATTGTTTAGTCCTTCGTAATGTATTCTATTCGATTGTTTTATTTTCCTATTATGCTGTTTATATTCTGTTCCATTCTATTTATATCTATTGAGTTGTTCATTTCTATTCTATTCCAGTTTATTCTATTATATACTATTGTTCTATTCGTGTAGTTTGTATTTTGTTCTATTCTGTATTGTGTTGTTGTAATGTAGTGTGTTGATTTTAGTTTAGTTCATTGTATTGTATCCTATTCTATCGTTTTGTTCTATTGTGTCACTTCTTCTCTATTCTGTTCTACTCTGTTGTGCTATTGTGTTGTTTCTATATTGTTCTATTCTGTTATTTTATTATCATAATTTGTTCAATTGTGTTGTTTTGAATCTATTGTGTTGTTTTTATTTTTTTGAATTCCGTTATGCTTTACTACTTTCTATTCCCTTCTAATGTGTTGTTTTCTGTTCTATTGTCTTTTTCATTGCATTGTGTTGATATTATTTTCAGTCACACATCTTACTGTTTGATTTAAATTATTCTTGTTCTGCTACTTTGTCAATGCAACATCTTACTGTTTATTAATTTTAAAAGAATGTTAGAATCCAGTTGGAGATAACTACATATCACACTGTCAGTGGAAGATTAATAACGGAGAGGAATATATGTGGGAATATTTCAGTGAGTTTTATGGCTTCTAGATGACCTGTCATATGAGCATCACATGATTTTAAAAGCCTCAAAGGCCAATCAGGTCAAAGGTCAGAGAAAACATTTATCTGTGCATAGGTTTGAGTTATCTCGACAACATACTAGACATACCTGTAGACAGCATGTGATTATTGTCCATATGACATGGCTTCATGCAGGTTGATTGTTTTCTTCCACCTCACATAGGTCACAGCATGAATCTGAGGATATGGCAGCCAGTCCCTTTGATTTGCTGTGTATTCGTCCAGAAAAACACACAGACAGACTGACTCATGCATGTGCACAGAGCTGTTGTTGAGAAAGATGATTCGCAGCAAGCAAAACCAAAACCAGAGAAACTGGGCAGCACTTCCATAAAGCCAGTGAGTGACATTTGATGCAGAGGAGGAAACTTCATCTATTTTCGTAAGTGCTTTTTATTCTGTAACCTGGCACAAATTTGAATAGGTGAAACTTTATTCATTTGTGCTCTCACAGCTGTTTCTTCATACCTTCTATCATCCTCCTCCTCTTTAGGTTCCCCCCTCTCACCTCTCCTGTACAATGGAAGAACCTCTGCTGGGACGGTTGTCAGCTGGTGGCTGCTGCTCCTACAACACCCTGAAAGCCTGGTTGCCCATCCTCTCCTGGCTGCCCAGGTACAGGCTGAAATGGCTACAGATGGACCTGCTCGCGGGGATCACTGTCGGGCTGACGACTGTACCGCAGGCGCTGGCTTACGCTGAAGTAGCAGGTCTTCCTGTGCAGGTGATTTTCATTCAGATTCAAGTCTCTCCAGATATTTCAGCTATGTGGAAAATGTATCCATCAAGTGGTTAAAGTGCACACGTCTGGTTTCCAAACTAGTTGTGATGTCATAAAACCTGCTTGTACATAAACGTCTTCAACAGAAGTTTAAGACATAATATGAAACAATGTCTAAAAACAACTAGACCTCTGTTATATAATTTCTGTACTTCTACTATTCGAGGTACGGGACGTTTCATTTTGGTTGCCTTTTAATTGTGTTGTATGCTCTTTGCCCTTGGCTTTGCCTTTGCAATACTTCTGGGATGAACGACGAATGACGGAAGAAAAACACACTGTTGGCCAGTCAGACAGCCACTGTTAGACAGTCGGCTCGTAATGGATCAGGATTATTCATTGCAGTTTGCTGCGTAATGTAAATACAACTTTAAAACATTATCTCATTTGCAAGTCATATCAACTAGATTTTCATTGGCAATGGTGATGAATACAATAACTCCTATAATCCCACACTTTGTCACAATGTCATCAAACTAGCTCTTTTGTTGTTGTTTTGATTGAGAGACTCCTAGCAGCAGACATATTATACATTCAAACTGAGTGTAGAGAAACTCCGCCTATAGCAAATGGATCTGAAAATAAACTTTACACAGTGAAACTTTACGTCATGAATTAAAGGTTAGTTGCACCTCTGTTCATCCTTTAACCTGAAAACATTTCTCTCCACAGTACGGACTCTACTCTGCCTTCATGGGGGGGTTCATTTACACCCTCCTGGGGACCTCTAAGGATGTGACACTGGGTCCCACAGCCATCATGTCCCTCCTGTGTTTCTCTGTGGTGGGGGGGCAGCCACACCGAGCGGTGCTCCTCAGCCTCCTCTGTGGAGTCATCCAGGCTGGGATGGCACTACTGAGATTAGGTGAGGGGGAGGGGCTGCTGAGGTCACTCGGAAACCTTGTGATTCCACTTTTTTTCGGTGATTTTCTTAATTTGGTCAAAACTCGTGATGCAATTGGATGAAGTTTTATCAAAATGAAAATAAGATAAGAAACATGAGGGAGAGTTGGAGAGAGGAGTTTGGATTTTACTGAGAGGAACTGTTGTGGCTTTTTCTAATGTGGATGATGTCAGTGACTCCGATGTTCATCTCTACTTGTTTGAGTCAGAGTATATGAACGAAGATGAGAAAGAGAGAGGCAACCAGCAGAGGAGAGACAATGAGCTGCTGCACAGTCGCAAAAAAAAAGACTTGAATACAAACTGACTATGGTTCAGGGACCGAACTGCAGTAAAACAGGATATTAGTTCACGTGTGTGTGAAACCTACTTCCTACCACTACATCTATGACTTCCTGTGCTGAGCCCATCAGCTGTGACCACAGTATTTCTGTGAAATCTGTGGATCTCAAACATGTATGCATGATTTGTCTGAGATCATGACTCTGTAAATACTTAATTGCCTTATGTATTTGTTCACAATTTATCATAAAATCAATTTAAACAAGCCAGAGTTAGCAGTACATGCTGGTTTTCATGTGTTGTCCCAAACCAGTTCTTGAACAGGAACCTGAAATAAAATAACATGACTTATTGTCATCTGCAGGTTTTCTCTTAGACTTCATCTCTTTTCCTGTAATAAAAGGCTTCACTTGTGCTGCTGCAGTAACCATTGGCTTTGGCCAGGTCAAGGTGAGTATTAGACACACACACACACACACACACACACACACACACACACACACACTCAAGTTCTTATACTCAGCAGTAACTTTAGTTCCACAGTCTACAAATGTATTTAATGCCACTAGATACAGAAAACTTAACACTTCAACAATACAAAGTGAAGAAAACCAAACAATGGTAAATAGAAAACAACTGAAAACACAATTAAAAAATGAAATGGTATCAGAATAAATGATCCATTATTAGAAATGAGGAATTTTGAGTCTGGATTATAGCAGAGCTTTTCCAGCACATTGGCTGTGATGACATTATGTGCTGATATTAGCTTATTAGTACACAAGATACAAAAAAATGTACAAGAGGAGCATCAAAGATTACTTTCTGACTATCTCAGAAGGTTGAGCAGGTCGTCCACTTATCAGAAGGTCAGTGGCTTGCACCTTTCTTTTTGTCTTATGTGATCATAAACAGACATTTCCTAGACTAACTAACTTATTGACTACCTGAGAAGTAATTGTCAGTTTAATCAACAATGAAAATTGAATCTCTTAAATAAGTTTTGTGTGGTTATGTAAAAAAATGCAGATTTTTGTAACTCACATATATTGATGAGATTGGCATTAATTATCCACTATCAGTGGGACTTTGCAGCATTGTACAGTTTCTACAACAGTTAGGTCAGGTTCATATGTTGCTGAGAGGACGTGTCATTTTTCAGGATCCTCTCTCTTCCTAACTGTCTGTCTCTCTGCCTGTCTGTCTCTCTGCTTGTCTCTCTGCCTGTCTCTCTGCCTGCCTGTCGGTCTATCTGTCTGTTTTTCTCTGAACAAACACACTTGCCATTAAAATACTGTTACTGTTGTTTCTGGTAGAATATCCTGGGGCTGCAGGGCATTCCCCACCCGTTCTACCTGGAGGTTTACTACACCTTCTTCAAGATCCCAGAGGCCAAGATTGGAGACGTGGTCCTGGGTCTGCTGTGTCTCACACTGCTGGTCATGTTGATGTTGATGAAGACGGGTTTGGGCTCTGAAGACGCGCCCCGCTATGCCAGACTCTCCAGGAAACTAGTGTGGGCTGTTGCTACCAGTCAGTGCCTGCATGAGTGTGTGTTTGTGTGGTGTTTCACTTTTACAGAAGATAACGTAATAATCAGTCCACCTTTCCTTCTCTTTGTCCTCCTTCTTATTGGTCTCGTTCAGTGCGTAATGCGCTGGTGGTCGTGGCTGCCTCCCTCATAGCGTTTTCGTGGGATGCATACGGTTATCACGTGTTCACAATCACTGGGAAAATCTCCCAGGGGCTCCCACCATTCAGGCCCCCACCCACCTCAGACACTACAGCCAACGGCACCGTCGTGTCCTTTGGAGAGATCGTAGAGGTAAACAGCATGTGACAGTACCAGGATTAAGTCAGTGGATTTTTCTGTGAAATGAGGTTCAACTTTCACTTCCCAAATTCTTTCCAGTTTTCAAGAAAAACAGCTGAGCAGCCAGTTTTTCTCTATGTTTTTTTTTGTGCAGGATTTTGGAGGAGGGCTCGCTGTGATTCCCTTCA